GAGAGCACTAATTCCAGACTCCTTCTGGCAGAGGGAGACCTAGTGACCTGTCCCAATGCAAGCAAGCCCAATGCCTGCTGCTTAAAGGGGGTCACCCCCATGGAGAACATGGGAAATTTCTGTCTTATCATTACGAAATATATGTATGACTCAGTTTCCCCACTCACTTTTGTAGTGTTGCCCATTGAGTGTGAAGGGATTAATTTCTTTCCTGGGACAGAGGATAAATTTCACTGTACACACACAAACCAACAAAAAAATATTTCCATCAATAATAATTAAAATTTAAAGATAGGCAAAGTAAGAAGAATGCTGCTTGAGAACTTAGTCAAAATCCAGTGAATTAGACTTGTTCCAGATGGACTAAGAAATGAATACGGTATGATTTGTTGATTTATGGATATGACCTTTGCATAGTTTGACATGTGATGTTGACCATTTGTGTTAATGGTTTATAAAGCATTACGTTTTTGAATCTCAGTGTCTACTGTCGTTAAATAATGGTCTGACCCCTCCCCCATCACTTCCTGCTTTTGTGAACATTTAAAATCACTAAAAATCTAAAAAATTGCTTAAAAATAAACATTGCTATCAGCCATCAAAATTATAAAAAAACCCAACAACAAATTCTGCCAAGTCTAAGAATAAGCGATGAAATGACTGGGTGTAAGTCTACAGAGAACTGTCAACATGTGAATGGAGCGACCTTGGAAATACAATGTAAGACCAAAGACTAGATCATTAACTTGACAGGACATGTTAAAACAGCATGATTGGAACCGGAGACAAAGGTGCTGGGGGACTGCAATAGGATCCTGCTCTGTGGGAGCTGGGGGGCAATCCAGGACATTTAGACAAGGCAGAGGTGATGCTGCCAGCATGCAGTTTAGTTCCCAGACTAGGGCAAAGCAGGGACAACCTAACTGACTACGCAGAAGCTAGTAAATTAGGGGAGAAACGTGTGTTGGGTTTGCTCTTCTCTTCTAAGGTAGTGTCCCTGTCTTCCACTTGACTAATAAATGATGTCATTTTGCAAAGGCTGTCCTGTGTCTCTGGAAACATCTGCTGGTTGCAGAGCTCTAAGAAGGGTAAGTCTCCAACAGGGATGCAAGCTCATTGGGACCTGCTAAAGGAGCCATGCTGAGAAACAGAGGTGCTGAAGCCAGAGACACTGTCTTGGAATAGCAGAGCTACACAGCTTCCCCTTGTAAAAGGTGGAGGCCCAGGGCCTAGCACTAAGAAGGAGACACTCCCAGAGAGACTGTATGAAGGTCAGAGGTATAGCATGCCCCGTGAATGTGTGACAATTGGAGTTAGCAGTAGAATACTAACTGCTGCAGCAGTGCTTTCCAAAAAACATCTAAAAAGCAGTTAAGGGAACAGCCGGGGGAAAGTGGTTTACATTCTTTGGGGTAGAGAGAAGGAAAGGACTGACAAGGAAGAGGAGATATTATCCGCTCCCTAAACAGATTATACAGCTGTGCAGAGAGAGAGAGAGTTAAACTTTAAGAAGTTATCCAAAGCACAAGTGGCTGATCTGCTACATGAGGACAATTGGTCAAAGAACCTCGATCCTAGGGTGACCAGGTGTCTGGTTTTCGACCAGAACACCCAATCGAGAAGGGACCCTGGCGGCTCCGGTCAGCACCACCGATCAAGCCATTAAAAGTCCGGTCGGCAGTGCTGTGGAGCTAAGGCAGGCTAGTCTCTACCTGTCCTGGCTCCGTGCTGCACGCCAGAAGTGCCCAGCAGGTCTGGCTCCTGGGGGGTGGGGGGGGCACGTGGCTCTGTGCGCTGCCCCCACCCCGAGCACTGGCTCCGCACTCCCATTGGCTGGGAACCATGGCCAATGGGAGCTGCAGGGGCAGTGCCTGTGTAACCCACACACCTGCTGGGTGTGGTGCTCTGTCCCATCTAGTGGCAGTGAGACCACTTAGAGATTAATGAGTCTGCTCTACGCCTTAGCTAAGAGCCATGTGGCTTTTACCTCATGCAATAGAGGCTCATGCATTTAGCTCCCAAGTTCCCAGGTTCGATCCCGCCTGCCGACAACCGGGGTCTGTCGGTGTTACACCTGCAGGCAAGAGCACCATGTAGAGCCACCTGCCATGCCTCCGACTAGGAGCCGGACCTGCTGGCTGCTTCTGGGGTGCAGCGCAGTGCCCATCTGCTTACTGGGAGCTGACAGAGGTAAGCCCGTGACCCGAGCCCCAGCCCCCTGACCCAGCCCTGAGCCCCCTCCAAACCCAGAGCCCCCTCCTACACCCCAAACCCCTCATCCCTGGCCCCACCCCAGAGCCTGCACCCTCAGACAGAGCCCTTACACCCTTGCACCCCACCCCCCAGCCCAGAGCCCCCTCCCACACCCTGAACCCCTGTGCCCCACCCCCCAGCCTGGAGCACCCTCTTGCATTCCTCATCCCTGGCCCCACCCCAGAGCCCACACACCCAGCTGGTGCCCTCACCCCCTCCCGCACCCCAACCCCCTGCCCCAGCCTGGAGCCCCCTCCTGCACCCTGAACTGCCCATTTCTGGCCCCATCCTGGAGCCCACACCCCGAGTTAGAGCCCACACCCCAACCCCCTGCCCCAGTCCAGTGAAAGTGAGTGAGAGTGGGAGAGAGCGAGCCACTGAGGGAAGGGGAATGTAATGAACGGGGGGGCAGGGTCTTGGGGAAGGGATGGGGCCGCGGGGCAGGGGGCGGGGCTACGGTGTTCGGTTTTGTGCGATTAGAAAGTTGGCAACCCTACTCAATCCAGATCCTGACAAGGTTGTGGGAGGACAGCCCAGTTCACCAACGTCTGTCGGGGGAGCCGGAGGCCTGCATGTCCCAGAAGTGCCAGGAGAATCCAAGGAGGACAACTGCAATTAAGGGTTCTTTCACAATGGGTGGCAACTCCTTGAAGCTGCTCTGGGGAATCAGCTCTCGTCCCGTCTGACACCCTCTTCCATCAGTTACTCAAGCTGTGATCCCTCGCTCTCGAGTCATGACTGAGGGTGTTTTCTCGTTCTGACTCAGCCCGCTAGTCAAATCAATAGAGTCCTCCCCCTCCAGGGTAATAAAATATCTCTGGACCAGATGTCTGGTGGGCACCTCCAACACTTCTGTGCCACTTCCCAGTGGCTGGTTGGGGAACCCAGGCCCACCCTCTACACTGGGTTCCAGCCCAGGGATCCTATAACAAACAGACAAGATCTGCACAGTCCTACCCCTTGCTGCTGTTTCCCTAGGCTTCTTCCTACATAGCTTTCTCAAGCTTTCTTTCGCCACAACTCCTCTGGGGTTGACCCTTCTTCCAGGCCTAGAACCCCAGGGCTTATTCTCCTTTGGATTTCTCCTTCTCTCCTCCCAGCGAGCAACTGCAGATTCTGTCCCTGCAGCCTCTTTCTGCTGCAAACTTCCTGGCTCTATACTCCTGGCCAACTGGGCTTCTTGTTCAGTTAGATGTGGCTCACCCTCCAGATGCAGCCAGGTAACCTAACTGGCCCCTCAAACCCACATTAACCCCTTCACAGCCTGTGTGGGGTACATACCACATCACAAAGATCAGGAAACTGAGGCACAAGCAGCCCCATGGCAAGATAAGCAGGGGGAGACCACAGAATGCCAATTCCACAGAGAGCATAGATGCTAAATTATTGCCCCAGTTTAAGGAGACATAGCACTCCCTTTGATCCATGATACCTCAGTTACATCAGGGCCAAGGCTGGCCCCTTGGGTTTATTTTAGCATCCAAGCTTGTCATGTAAACAGAGATGAACACATGCGTGCAAAGGGATTTAGCATCCAGTATCTCATGGGCCCACTGAGGGCTCCCACCTCCCCAGAATAACGGGGCTTGACGTAGCCTGAAGAAAACCAAGCTAATAAATCTAGTAGCTGGAGGATGAAGTTGTTGCTTTGGGGGAAGGACCAATTTCAGGGGGAATAAATACCTGGATTTGAGTGAACATCTGAGGAAGATTAAAAATGTCTCAGAAGTGACGTGTGGCAGAGATCACAATGGTGGCCACTGGAGAACTCTTAAAACTCTCTGCATGGGAGAAATCCCAAAGTCTGAAACAGAAACTCGAGCAGTGACAGATACATTAAAGCGCTGTAGCTCTGGTACAGCTTTAATAATGGGGTTTCAGAGCCCCTGTCAGGCACAGCTACTAAGGGGAAACAATGTCACCCTCAACTGCGTTAAACAAAGCAGTACTAGCAAGGGCCTTCTCTCCCCCCTTGCCATCTCTCCCCCCTCACCTCCTGGTCCCCCTGCCACCTCTGCCCCCCACTCAGACCTTTACCCCTCCCCTCTCCACCTCTCCCCGCTCGCCCCCTGCTCCCACCTTCACACCTCCCCCATCTCCCTGCCACTTGCTCCCACCTTCACCCCTCCCCTTTCCCCCCCTGCTCCCACCTTCACACCTCCCCCATCTCCCCGTCACTTGATCCCACCTTCACCTCTCCCCGCTCTCCCCCTGCTCCCACCTTCACACCTCCCCCTTCTCCCCCGCCACCTGCTCCCACCTTCACCCCTCCCCTCTCCACCTCTCCCCCCTCATCCCCTGCTCCCACCTTCACACCTCCCCCATCTCCCCGTCACTTGCTCCCACCTTCACCTCTCCACCTCTCCCCGCTCTCCCCCTGCTCCCACCTTCACACCTCCCTCTTCTCCCCCGCCCCTGCTCCCACCTTCACCCCTCCCCTCTCCACCCCCCTCTCCCACCTTCCCCCCCCCTCTCCCCCTCTCCCCCTGCTCCCACCTTCACACCTCCCCCTTCTCCCCCGCCCCTGCTCCCACCTTCACCCCTCCCCTCTCCACCTCTCCCCCCTCATCCCCTGCTCCCACCTTCACACCTCCCCCCATCTCCCCGTCACTTGCTCCCACCTTCACCCCTCCCCTCTCCACCTCCCCCTCTCTCCCCCTACTCCCACCTTCACCCCTCCCCTCTCCCCGCTCGCCCCCTGTTCGCACTTTCAGGCACCTCCCCGCCCTTCGCTCGCTCAGCTGAGAGCCGCTGGGCCTGCAGAGGGCGACGCTCTGCCCCTCCTCCTCCGGCCTGAGCGTGGGGCCCTCTTGGCCACCGGGCCGGCTCGTTGGCGCTGGTGGGCGACGTGGATGCGGAAGTGGCTGGCAGCGGAGGAGCTGGGCGGCGCGGTGAGTGCAGGCCCCGGGGGGAAGGGTCGCTCCGCCGGCTCCGGTACGCGCCCCGGGGTGGGTCCCTGTGCGGGGGCGGCCGGGGGGGGAAGGAGTATGGGGGGGTCCCTGTGTGGGGGCGGCCGGGGGGGAAAGGAGTATTGGGGGGGCCCCTGTGCGGGGGCGACCGGGGGGGGGAAGGAGTATTGGGGGGGTCCTGTGTGGGGGCGGCCGGGGGGGGAAAGGAGTATTGGGGGGGGTCCCTGTGTGGGGGCGGCCGGGGAGGGAAGGAGTATTGGGGGGGTCCCTGTGTGGGGGAGGCCGGGGAGGGAAGGAGTATTGGGGGGCGGCCCCTGTGTGGGGGAGACCGGGGGGGAAGGAGTATTGGGGGTGGCCCCTGTGCGGGGGCGGCGGCCGGGGGAAGGAGTATTGGGGGGGGGGTCCCTGTGCGGGGGCGGCCGGGACGGGTGGAAGGAGTTTTGGGGGGTTCCCTGTGCGGGGGCGGCCGGGACGGGTGGAAGGAGTGTTGGGGGGGTCCCTGTGGGGGGGGCGGCCGGGGGGGGAAAGAGTGTAGGGGGGTCCCTGTGCGGGGGCGGCCGGGAGGGGTGGAAGGAGTGTTGGGGGGGTCTCTGTGCGGGGGTGGCTGGGGGGGTGGAAGGAATGTTGGGGGGGGTCCCTGTGGGGGGGCGGCCGGGGGGAAGGAATGTTGGGGGGGGGTCTCTGTGCGGGGGGCGGCCGGGGGGGGGAAGGAGTTTTGGGGGGGGTCCCTGTGCGGGGGCGGCCGGGACGGGTGGAAGGAGTGTTGGGGGGGTCTCTGTGCGGGGGTGGCTGGGGGGTGGTGGAAGGAGTGTTGGGGGGGTCCCTGTGGGGGGGCGGCCGGGGGGGAAAGAGTGTAGGGGGGGTCCCTGTGCGGGGGCGGCCGGGAGGGGTGGAAGGAGTGTTGGGGGGGTCTCTGTGCGGGGGTGGCTGGGGGGGGTGGAAGGAATGTTGGGGGGGTCCCTGTGGGGGGCCCTGTGGGGGGCGTCCGGGGGGGGGGAAGGAATGTTGGGGGGGGTCCCTGTGCGGGGGGCGTCCGGGGGGGGGGAAGGAGTATTGGGGGGGGTCCCTGTGCGGGGGGCGGCCGGGGGGGAGGAGTATTGGGGGGGGTCCCTGTGCGGGGGCGGCCGGGGGGGATGGGGTTGATAGGACTCAGGGTCGCCTTCTCTCTGCAGTGCCTGTAAAGCCCCCGGCTAGAAGGCGCCTGGGGATGCGCCTCGCTCCTACCTTTGTGCTCCCTGCCTCCTTTACCAGAAGCAAAGGAATAAAAGCAGCAAAGTGGCAGCAGGATGTGCTGGGACAGTCAGGGAACTGGGCCAATGAACTGTTCAGCATTGCCGCCTCCCCTCTATCCAGTCACCCCCTCCACTCAGGATCATGTTACCCCTCTTGTACGTCTCCCCTTCAAACAGAGAGCTCTCTTCACAAACACGCTGGGGATATCCCGCGCCCATCCCCCAAAAACCTAAACCCTCCTGCCGTGGGACAAACAAACAGAAACTTCACAATGTTTTCACAGTGTCTAGATGCCCTGTTGCCAGGAACACCTACTTAGGCTGGCACTGGAGGAGGCTGGGTTCTTTCTGAGAAAATAAAACTCGTGGTCAGTCAGAAAAGTCTTGAAGGTGCACACCATGATCTATACTGGGGATCTCTATCAGGCGTCTCACGTCTAGGTTGCCAATCTATATCCAGCTTGAATTGGTAAAGAGGAACGACTAATAGTTGTTCCCATTTAGTGGGCTGTTCAGTAGCCTGTGCTAAATGAGTTGGTGGGCTGTCAGTCCAGTTCCCAGTAGGCAGGTTGCAAAAACCACATCCTCAATTAGCCTGAATTGGCAAACACTGGCACCTGGGCCAGAAAGATCTGAATGGCCCAGGGGGACCAAAATATCCCTGGCCTCTAAAGGAGGTTCTTAAAAGTTACAGTTGAGGCATACTTGTGGGGCATGACATCTGTCACTACTCCTGCTATACTTGGTAGGTAGATACAGATGAAAAGAAAATCTGGAGGCTTGTTAAAATTTATTGGTGCCCCCTCCTCCATTCCCTGTCTTTTTCCCTTTCCAAGAATGGGAAGGCTCTTTGCTGAGCCACTTGAGACTCTGAATTTATCTCTCAATAGGATCATGGCCAAAGCTGGAGGAAAAGGAGTGAACCTGAAAGACAAGCTTGATGGCAATGAATTGGACTTGAGCCTGAGTGACCTGAATGAAGTACCAGTCAAAGAACTGGTCAGTATCAGTCTTTCTTGGGGGATTTAAGGTATTGCAGGGGAGCCTCTGAACTTACACCTGGTCTTTGTGAATGTACTGGTTCTGGAGGTGGGGTGATTCCTGGGAATGCCTTGGGCCCTGTGTAAGTTTGGTGGGTTTTATCAGCTCTAGGTGTTGCCAGTTCTGTGTTTAAAGGCACACACTCTGTTTCTCCTGGTTTGAAAAGAAGGAGACACAACCTTGAACTCTTCCTTTCATCTTGACTTTCGGTGGTTGAAGTGACCTGAAGAAGAGAGGGCTCCCAACTGATCTAACAAATCTAGTAGATTGTGAGTTAAACTGATGCTTTGGGTAAAGAACCTGTTTCAGGGGGAGCAGTGTTCATAAGCCCCTGAATTTGAGCGAGATCTAAGAGTCTCAAAAGTAACTCGAATGGTAGCAACTGGGGAGTTCTTAAAACTCCATGTATGGGAGAAATCCCAAAGACTGAAACAGAAACTTAAACAGCAGGGTATCAAATGTGTTAAAGTACTGTAGCTTTGATATGGGTTTAATCTGGTTCCTTGGCTCTTTTTCAGGCTGCTCTTCCAAAGGCTACCATATTGGATTTGTCCTGTAACAACCTCACTTCCCTACCGGTAAGATGAGAGAGAAGCTTTGGAGGAGGGAGGGGTCTGTTTGGAAATATCTTTGGAAAGGTACAATCATCCTCCTGCCTGGGAGGACCAGGCTGGAGTGTTGTAACGAGCAGTTCTCTTAGCTTTGTGGGAGGATGAGTGACACTGCCACCATTACAGAGGGGTCAGTAGAGGTGACTGACTTTTACTGAGGATGGCTGGCATAATTAGCTGTACTTTCTCATAGAAAATGTGAGTGTACTCAGTGAAGATTATAGCAGCTTCCATTCCAAAGTGCTCTACCAGCTAGATACCAAAAGCACCATTGCATATCTTATTTTCATTGTAATTATATTGCTATGTGTAATCCTGTTTAGGAGAGTATCCACTGTTCCCTACTTCACAGTCCGAAGATAGAGGGGGAAGAAAGTAACTTTCCTCCATCACACAAACAGCTTTGTAATGAGTCCAAGTCCATGTAGATCTTTCTCAGTGTGCAGCATACGCTAGCTGTTATATCTGTTATTCCTTAGTAAAGATTATTGACAAACTTGTAAACTTCTTCACTCCTGTTTGGGTTCTAGTCGGACTTCTGCAGTTTGACCCATGTGGTGAAACTTGATCTGAGTAAAAATCAGCTTCAGCAGCTCCCCTCAGACTTTGGTCGCCTGGTTAACTTGCAGCACCTGGACCTCCTGAACAACCGATTAGTCATCTTACCAGTCAGTTTTGCACAGCTCAAGGTAAAACCCCTCCGCTCGGCAGTTTACGTAAAGCCTTGGAGTGCAGCCCAGAGTCTCACGATTCTTCTGAAGTTGATTTCTCTAGTAAAATGTCAGTCTCTCCGCCAGCAGACCACCGTGAGCTCCAAAATGTAACTGGGAGCTGCAGCGCTGCCCTTGACGCAACTTCCTCAGTTTTGTTACAATTAAACTCCTGCCTGAAATCTGCACTTGCCTCCCATATCTCTTTCATTCACATGACAACTAAATAGATCTTTGTTTCTGCTTTGAACTCTCTAGAATAAACACAGCCTTGTTTGTGCTCTTTCTTTAACACTGTACTGATGCGTGCCTACTCTAGCCTGGTCGCATTTGTGTTTCCTTTCTGCAGAATCTGAAGTGGTTGGATCTGAAGGACAACCCGTTGGATCCTATCCTGGCCAAAGTGGCAGGAGACTGCCTAGATGAGAAGCAATGTAAACAGGCTGCTATCCGAGTAAGGAACTGCTCTACATTTTATTCTTGTCTTCCTACATGGATTCCATGGCTGTTATTTCTCCTCCTCTTGCTTCTTTCAACATGGTAATTTTTAAGGTATCAGTCAGGAGGGCAATGAGGGAGGGGCTAATCCCATTCAAAGCCAATGTTAATCCTGCAATGATTTCACTAGTGTCATGACCCTGTTGATCTAGGAAGTGAGCTAAGCAGGGTGCTCAGCCTAAGGAGGCACTAAGAGCGAGCATTTAAATGTTGATCACTTGGAAAAAGATATACTGAAGAAAAATAATCCATATCCAGCTTTGCGGTTCTGAAGAAGTGCTGGCAATCTGTGGGCTTGTGTGAAGAGTTACTGCTGGGAGCCATGGAGCAGGGCTAGAGCAGTTGGAGCCTATGCTGCTGCTGCAATTCTCTCTCATTCCTGAGGCAGGGATCACATCCCCTCTTTCAGCCTTAGAAAAACCATGTGATCATGGAGCAGTGGATACACCTAATACCAGCGCACAGACTGCAAGGAGGATTTCTTTTTTTAATGGAGAGATTTTTGTCTGACCCTGAAGCAGCAGCTTTGGGATCGAAGTTGAGACAGCGCTCCAAACACTCAGCAAAGGCATGGAAGTCTCAGCGGAGCTGCACCAAATTGCACCAGCTGAGGATCTAGCCCAATGCAGATTTTATTAGACATTCCTTTATCAGATGTGTATGTATGCTGGTAGACGACATCATCTCTTGTGTAGAAAAGTCAAATCAGTGTCTATTGTCACAGCTTTCTTCACATTAACGTCTGTTACCTCACTTCCATGATCAAAGCCCAGTGTACTGTGAGGCAAGTTGGACCTAAAATGGGCAGCAAGGGCTCCTGGAGTCTGGCAGCCTCACTTAAATTAAGTGGTGGTTTGTATTATTCAGTTTCATGTTTAAGTCGTATAATCAGTATGGTGTCTCCTCTTGTTAAAATAAAATGAAATATTATCTTGTCCCAGCACTGAATGACAGGGTTTTTTTGTACGGACAATGCATACAGTCAATGTGGAGGTTGTGGCATCGGTGTAAGAGCCATTTGGGACTCACTTGTATTCTGCTACATAGAATTAGAAGTCAATCCCAGAGGAATGCATTCTTTCTCCCACTTATGGCTGCATTCTAATGCTGTTTCCATATTAAGAACATAATGCAATGAATCTGCTGCATAGATCTTATGCTATTGTTTTTAATCTTGAAGGTGCTGCAGCATATGAAAGCTATCCAGTCCGAGCAGGATCGAGAGAGGCAACGAAGGCTACAAGCAGAGCGAGGTAGGCAGATGAAGCCCCCACCCACTTACTGCTTTAGGCTCTTTTCTGCTTCCATTGACTACATATCCAAACCAGCTGATTCTGCCCTTCCACAGCAGCTAACAAAGACTGTTCCAAATATAATGGCACTGAGGACCTACAGAATATTTGTTTTGAATTGGAGGTGGAGGAAGAGATCCCTCGATAGCCAACTGCTTAACTCTGTGAAAGGGGAGAGAGGTCTGATCCACTCTAGAGGAGAGGCATGGGCCTCTGGAGGATCAGTTGATTAACCAAAAGAAGGCCTGATGGGTTGTGGGTTCCTGATATGTCTTGGGAGGCCCACTGAAACCTAGATGCTGATTTTACTTCAGTATATGTTGGGAAATGATTTCCATGCTGATACACCGTACTGGAGAACCGCCTCCCTTCTTAAAGGGGATCATTTTCCATAAGCACCTTCTTTTTCTTCCCTTCTTGAAAAGGTTTGAGTGCTGGAGCAAGAAAATGGGAGTCTTACTGCTATTCACTGTGAACATGTCACATAGGTCTTGTCTACACTGACAAAGTTCAGAGCTTTAATTCACCACAAGTAGAAGTGCTAGTGTAAAGAAGGTTCAGTTGTTTTACCTCAACAGTGCTAAAAAGGCATGAAGCCTGTCCACAAAGTGCTTGCACAAATGCTGTTACCATTGATGAATTATGGGTCCAAACTCTGAATGTAAATGAACCCTTAAAGGAACATTAACAAACTGGAAAATCACATTTGTCTGAAAACTCTAATACCGAAGATTACTATAGTTGAAAAGTTAGTGACAAACATTTATTTCAATATACTTTGTGCATTTGACAATACTCAGAGCATGGTCAGTTTCTCATTTGTGTTGTGAAACAGACCCATATGAATAGGGGGCAGAAGGACCCTTAATTTTTTTAAAAGAATTAAAAAACTACTAAGGGAATACTACATAAAGAGTCCTCTATCAAACTAGGATTTCTTTAAAATTAGTCACATTAATAAAATTTAAGTTTACAGTGTCCCTTTAACCTTTGTGCTTCCATTTTATGCATATGTAACAAGGGGACAGTGCCTCATATGTGGGGCTAAGTTAATGCTTGTCAGGTGCTGAGCTCTCTGGATGAGAGATGCTATTGAGAAAGTGTAGATTTTTCACTCACTCACATAAGACTGCTTCCAGGGGAGAACAGACCTGAAGGAGGAAGATGGGGAGTGCATGCAACACTTCTGGACAATAAAATGGGGCAGTTATTTCATTGCTTTACCTTCCCGGTGGGGAAGAGCAGTCATGCAGCAAGGGGGAAGATGGAGTGCTGTTATTACAGAAGGAAAAAAAATGTTTGTGTTGGTCCTCAGAAATGGAGAAGAAGCGTGAAGCAGAGCAGCGAGCAAGGGAGGCTCAGGAGAGGGAACTACGGAGGCGAGAGAAGGCAGAAGAGAAGGAACGAAGGAGACGGGAGTATGATGCACTAAGAGCGGCAAGGCAAGAGATGGAAACACAAACAAAAAAAGAAAGCAGTGAAATCCCAAGTAAGTTAATTGTAGATTCAATTGAGAGATATCCACCAAGGAGCAGGTGTATTCTGTATAGTGTAACTGTTTTCATCTATATTTTGGCACAGCATAGGAGAAATAGGTGGAAGAGAATGAGCAAGAACCTTATCATTAAAGTGTACCTACCTCCAGCTCCACCACGCTTTTAATAGTGCCCGATTACGTAGCAAGGTGTTAGGAAGTAGTCCCTTGTGTTGAATATGGTCATGGGGTAGTGGAATCAGGCCACAGTGGCCAAGCTAGTTCAGAATCTTGGAACATATGAATAGCAGAACTTCAACATCTTTGCAATTGATGGAGCTCTTGATTACTTACCTGCATGATTCAAAGTTCTGCAATTGCTACTAAGGAATATTTCCTCTGCGTTATAAAATTGAATGTACTTTAAAAATATCTGCAAAAAAGGCTTTTTAACATCAGTTTAATGCATTTCATCATCTTCAAAGCTGTTTGCAAGCATTATGGTTGTTTTCTGAGAGATCAAAAACATCTGCTTCTTGAAAAGAAATGTTTCATCCTTTGTGGATGGGGCAGGTGCATATGTTTAGAACTGAAGAAAGCCAGGGAAATCTGAAACGGTGTAGTAATTGTTTTCTTGTTTTGGGAGAGCTAAACACGTGGCATAGCATTTTACCATAAGGGACTCAGATCTGCATGTTGGATGTTATAGGGGTACAGATTTCTCTTGATAAGTGACTTGGTCTTCCCATTCTCTTTCCCCCAATTATTTCATTACAGAGCTTTCATCAGTTTCTCATCCATCTCAGCTGCCCCGGCACAGGCGCTCCTGGTTCCAGGCATTGTTGAAGCTGCTGCTTTTGATGTTCCTGTGTGCCCTTAGTACTGTGGCTGTTTGCCGCGTGACGGAGCTGCAGCGCCAGTCTCTGTGCATCAGCGTGAACGTGCTCTATGAAGATGTGGTTACTGCTCTGCAAAGCCACAAAATTGTGCAAAATATATTACATCAGAACTCTCAGCAATGATGCTGCTACCTGGACATGTGCATTGTCAGCATCTCTTGCCACCATTGACACAGCCAGAATTCCTATGGAATTGTGTTCTGGTGAAACTGTCTTTAATCAGTCAGCACTGGATTTGCTGGTCCATTCAGAACAGAGCAGAACTACTGCTTAGATCATTTTTGTTGTGCTTGTGTCTCAGATGGTCTGCAACTCCTGTCGTTTGCTTATATTAAATTAGAACATGTTAAGACTTTCTCCCTCACTAATGGAGCAGGAGGTTGCCAGTCAGAGGAGTGAGGAAAGCCATAACCCATCTGGGTAACTATGGCCCTGTAAGGAGGTGGAGTATATCCATCTTCTTGCTGACACTTGCAAGAAGGTTCATGCAAACCTTTGCTAAAGTCAGGGGTGGGGTGGCTGTATGGTATAGAAATATACATAAGCCCATTCCAGGACCAATCAGAAGTATGTAGGATGGCTGTGTATTGATACATCAGAGTGGTGGAGTGATGAAATGCTATTGAAATAAGAATTGTCAGCTTTGTCAATATAACAGTTTTCGCAGCAGTTTGGTGTCTGACTCTGACCTGGATATTTACATTGTTTACATACATTTGTATAGTGCCTCAGTTTTGATTAGGAGCTTGCATGTGAACATATTTTACTATTACACCATAACGGGACCACTAATCTGAGCAAGCTAGTGTCAAAACAGCTATTCCGAGGAAAGACTTGATAGCCATGCACACTGGTTTTCCCTGAGAGCCAGCGCAGGCTCCAGAAGGCCATGCTACAGCTAGCCATCAAAATAGAACTGTTCACCTCCAATCTATGTTAGGAGCAGTATTAGTCGATAGGTGACGCTAGGATAGTGTTATTAAGACACCATCATATATTAGAGGCCATTCTCCATAAAGTGTCTCAAACTGGCCAGCTTCACATTAGCATCCTCTTGTTTCTGTAGGTCATCTCGTCTCCTAGGGCCTTAGCAGTATAGGATCTTGTACTGCCTTTGTGCTTAAAGTGTAACAGCCTGCAACTTCTGGTGTTTTGTGCCCCTGTGATTTAGCACAGCTGTTCTGTTGCTGTAGAGCAGTGTGTGGGATTACTGTACTCTCACATTCCCAGTGTTCAATTCCCAACAGTTAATCACAGAAAGGAAGATAAGCCTTCACCTGTGTGCTGTTTAATCCAAATGGGCAAAAGATAATGGTCCTGCTCCCTAGCTCCATTGTAACAGAGGGGTGGGGGGTTCAGCTAAAAGGAAGATACACTGAAGGTTGTTCCAGGGGCACACTACTTAACCCAGAGAGGCAAGTTCAGACACGGAGTACCTGACACTATCACCACAGTGCTGACACAAGTGCTTGCTTTTTATCTGAACAGCATATTATTCTGAGGTGCTGCAACTACTGTTCGTGAACCATCAGTACCCCCATTCTAGGCACAGGCTGTTGCTCAGAGAGGAGTGTGTTCTACGCAACAACTGTTCTAGTGAAGTTTGTCTCATGGGAGAAAGACCTGTAGCAGTCAGCAGATGCACTGGTAACAATATTAAAATTTATATCACAGCCTAACAGTAGGACTATTCCAAAGGCATCAATGGCAATGCAAAAAAATCACTTACTAGCTGTAGAGATGATCCCAGCATAGATGTATTAGAGAAAAATGCATATTTTCTCCCCTATAGTGTCACTAGTTCAGTAAGTTATATGCATTGCATAGCATTTGACTCTTACTACTCATTTCAATAATTGCTTTGTTACATAAATACTTAAAGACCTCAGCTGCCCTCACACATGCTTTTGAGCCCTGATGGCTTCAGGGGAAGTTAAGTGCACATACCTAAAGGCAGATGCTCCCTAACTTAAAGCATCTCTTGCTGCAAATAAAGCCTGTTAGAGCCCTGCTCATTCACTAATCCATAAATCAGACTTCAGGGCCCCATAGATCAAGCTGCGGCTAGACCCTTTGAGTCAGTGCAGCTCTAAACTTTGTACCTGAGTGTGGTACAAAACATCTTTCAGGGGAGGGGGTGGGATTCTTCTTTCTGCACCAGAGATGAAAATTCTCTCACTCTAATAGAGTGCAGGGTTGTGCTGTTTCCAAGCAAGTGTTATTAGACAGCTATGAAAGAGCCAATGTCCCTCCACTGCTAGTGTTAGGTTTTGTGTTTTAAAACTCACGGGTGGGGGAAAGGACAAATAGTAGCAGCTGATTTCTTTAAAGAATGATACTGGAAAAAGCTTGGCTCATGTAGAGGAGAGCTGGCCCTGTACAGCAATCCTAATAGGGCCTAGAGCAAACCTCCTACTTCAAAGAGTAGAGAAAATTTATTCCCAGGACAGAAAATACAATTTATCACAGACAGAAAGAAACTATCACTACTGCACTTGAGGGCAGTAGCACAGCACCTTGGCTAAGGAAAACATTGCAGTGCCTTCTGAAAACACCACCTGTAGAGCACTTCAGGCATCCTTGTGCCCCAGGGCAGGTGTTCTCCATTGCAGGCTTCAAAAACAGGAGATTTCAAGTCTTTACAAGCAAGACCCATGATTCCATTTATTAGTTAATACACTTTTCTTCCTAGAAGGGAGATGAATATGTTTAACCAGGCAACCAGTAAAATCCATGTTCTCTTGGGCTAGCCCGTGACATCCAAAGAGAGATCAGGATGGTGTGAGGTCATCTGCAGGTAAATCCGTTTGGAGAGTTCTGGTCCAATCCGCCGCGACGTGGCAGTTACACCATTGCCACGGCGCACAGGTATGTCAGCGAGCATGTTCTGTTGCTCCCGCTCTGAAAGGCATCTACAATAGGCCTAAAAACAGTACAAAGGAATGGTGATTTCATCCATTGTCACGTTCCTTTGTCCTCAAAAGGACAGAGGGGAAGGGCTCCTTCACTGCTTCAGCCTTTCATGTTTTACACTCCTTTCATCAGTTCTCCCACCAGACCTCACTTGGCAGCCAAGAAGCAGCACCCACTGTCAGCAGGAATTCAATACATACAGACTATGTGCACTGTTAAGGACTGTGCCATGAACACAACTGCAACAGAAAGAAACGTGCAGCCTGGATACATCTAGAACAGCCAGCGCTGCTTTACTTATGCAGGACTGGAGATTCATTTTCACTCTCTGCAAGGGGAACACTTATTCAAGCAAGTGAGGGTATGAACTTCAGTAAGACAGATCTCCTCTCAATAGCTTCATTCTGCTCTGAATGCCAGTCTGTGACCTTCTGCCAAAGCTAATGGATGCAGAGAAGTCATTTCTTCCATCACTTGCATTCAAGTGTAGATGCTCTTATTCCAAATTAGTTTAATCCACTTTAGAAGTGGATCAAAGCATCCACACGTTGATTAATCAGGAATAGTCAGTCTGCTTTAAATTCACACCCTGCTTTATTCCAGATTAAATTTTCATACACAGACGTGCCTCACATCTGAAACATTCAGGCTCAAGATACCTCCTCCCAGAAGCACAAGGGAAGGTTCCTTATGAACTACCACTAACTATTTCAAATATTCTTTTTTTTTTTTTTTTTTTTTGGGGGGGGGGGGGAAGAGGAGGAGTGAACAGGAAAAGACCCTATCAAGCAGTCCCAGTTTTTCCACAGATTACTCTGGTGTCCTATAAAAACAGCTCCCCTTCTTGTTGTCAGCATCTCCCTCACTTGCAATCTAATGCTTAGAGCAGAGGAAGTAGGAGACTGGAGTTTTATTCCTGGCTCTGTCACTATCTCATTGGAGTGCTGGGGCTGGGTTACAATCTGTGCCTCACTTTTCTCTTCTGTAAAATGGGGATAAGGGCCACCTTTGGAAGTGTTTTGAGAGCCACCAATGAAAGGCGCTATGGAAGTACAAAGTGTTTGCTATGACGGGACTGGGTGTTTCAAACAAAGTATTCTAAGCTGACATGGGATCAATATCTCAGAATTAATCTCTGTGAAGTTATTTAACACAAGTAACATTCTTTGCATTAGTAGCTGTGTGTGCACAATTGTATCAAAAACCGTAGATCACCCTTACCTGATCCAGAAGCAGAGGAGAAGGGTATGCGGCTACAATGGCGCTGGCCATCTCCAGACTGACCCGGTTGAACTGTTGGATCTGCCTCTTCCAAACCTGCGAGAGTCCCTTCCCTGAGCGGTCCACCTTCACTCCCCTACACCACTCACTCTCCAGGTAGAAGGAGAAGCCAGTCTTCTCTCGCTCTTGCCTGCAGAGGGCACAGAAGGGAAGGTGAACAAAACAATCACAAAACTTATCTTTTGCATCTCTCAACAGATGATAACTGGAGAGAGAAACAATGGTCACAGAGCAGGGAAGCCTCATATCCAGCAGCGAATTAGAGAGATCAATAGTATCAAGGTAGATGTGCAAAATCTGACTTACCTGCCATACAAGTGTTAGCAAGATCCTTTTATTTAGGTGGAAAATAACCAGAGAGTGTGGCACATTAGAAGCAGGCTGGCTATAACAAAGGGCACAGAGGCAGCTATACTGGCTTTGTGCTACCCAGGGATTCCTCTTAGCAAGAGCAGCCTCAGGCCCCCTTTCGGCAGCACAAAAGGAACTGGGTGTAGGGCAGACACTGGCCCAAATAATCTGTGCTTTTTACTCTTGATACTAATGGCCCAGCACTATGAGCAACCCTGCAACAAACCAATGCACATGCAATCTGGGGAAACAGAATGCAAGCTGTCGAAGAGATGTTATAAGCAGCATAGAAAAGCATTTTAAAGGTGTGTGTGTTTTCACGGATGTTATTGTGAGACAGACAGTGAAGCTGCTGTGATGAGTGTGCTAGTATGGGGTTCAACTTTACATTGCTGGGGAATGACCTGTGAGAACATAATTACAACAGTGTGTCTTATGATCATCTACTAAACGGGGATTCTGCCCCAGTGACATCTCTCAAATCACAAATATTTTCAGGTGAAGCATAAAAGCTGGTGCTGTAGTGACTGAATCCAGCTAGAGGGCACAGCCCTCCTTCTTTATATCCCCTTTCCGCCTCCAAACACAGATTGAAAAGAAGATCTTTGCTTGACACCCTCTCTCAAATCAGACTCCAACACTGACGAGGAGAAACAAGCTCTAGGGGCTGTAGCCCAATGCACCACCTGTTTCAATGCAAGAGGCACTAACGTTGTTGGTTTTAAGGCACCTCATCAGTGACTGCTCAGTACTGCCTGGTCTTTGAGGATGTCTCCTCACTGTGAAAAAAGTGTATTCTTAACTCAGGTTAAAGTAGCAACAAAGACACTGCAACTCAGCTTTTAACTCAGGTTAGCAACACAAGTTCAACCCCAGGCTGCCCTACAGGCTTTAACTCATGCTGCTTACCCAAGTTAAAGCGGAGCCATTGTGTCTTCACTGCTAGTTGAACCTAAGTTAGCTAACTTGAGTTAAGAACACACCCTCTTTTTTGCAGTGAAGAAAGTACTATACTGTGTAGCACTGAAGTAAGGCTGTATATTCCCCTCCAATACTCATGGAAATGAGGCCTCTCCTGAGGATATCTCCAAAAGCAAGTTAGCTTAAAAAATAAATCCCATATG